GAAAGGAAGGAAGAAAGAAAGAAAAAGAGACTAAAGAGGAAGGGGAGAAGAAAGCTAGGGGAGGAAGGAAAGGGATAGGATAGAAGAGAATGAATGAATAAATGCCGGATTGCAAAATGAATGAGAATTGCTGTGCTTCCAATCATTGGATGACACTTGTAACATAAGCAACATACTATTACTTGGTTTCGAAAAGAAAAATTCTTGATTTCTCTAAAGTACGCTACCTGTAAGGGAGAGCGTATAATCACTGTCTTTTGTCCATTCTTAATATCCACCTGAACAACGGCATGGCTGTTTAAGTTGGTCTGGAAATATAAAAAGGGGTAGATTAGAGAATGATCATTTCTTTGTTTAACGGTTGCACATGAGAAGACACATGAATATCGATACAACTCAAACAAAGAATCTTATTCTAGAGAGAATGACACGTGGTCTGAAATGGGGAAACATTACACTCAAGCGGTCTAAGGTAAAGAGGTCAAATCCTCACTTTAATGATAGCACATGATAAGACACATTAATATGGATACAACTCAAACAAACAATTTCTAGGCAATGAGACGTAATCTGGAAAAGGTACACATTACACACAACAGTTTGACATACCTCATTTCCAACACGTGGTTTCAGCTTGTACAGGTAACGCCCTGAACGAGTTATAGGTACATAGTCCACAATATAAAAACCATCGACCTACAGAAATGAAATAACAAAATAAAACGATGTAAATCGAAACAAATTGATCCGTGTGTTAGCCATCCTCTGACTTAGATATGCAACGAGGTTGTTTCAGGGTTCGATCTACGAGTTAGCCATGTCCCGACTTAGATCAGCGCAAAGGTTGTTTCAGGGCTCGATCTACGAGTTAGCCATGCCATGACTTGGATCGCCTAAAAGGTTGTTTCATGGTATCAACAAAATTTTAAGACTTTTATTATAATTTGGAGCATGTTAGGTCGCTAATCGACCAATCAAAACACGGGTTCTACAGAAGTAGTAAAGGACATACTTCAAATGCAAGGTAGCTTTCTTCCTCTTGCTCTCGCCTGCCATCAACAGAATCGTCGGTCGATTGTACAGCTTCTTTTCTGGGCGACGAATCTTCTTGTTCACTGTCACTGAACTTAGGCGAGGATATTCCACCGATAACTGCACCAACATTACCCACAGCATATGCTATCTTCTGACCAACCTCTTCGTCAGTATCGTTCACCTTAATAATATCTAGGAAAGAGACTTCGATATCTTAGAATGTAAACTCCGGAGTAAAATTTATTGGACTATGAATTAAATCAGCCAAGGGGTTGTTTCAGGGTTCAATCTGTAAGTTAACCCTGCCCCGTCGTAGATCAGCCCAGAGGTTGTTTCAGGGTTCAATCTGTGAGTTAGCCGTGCCCTGACTTAGATCAGCCCAGGGGTTGTTTCAGGGTTCAATCTGTAAGTTAGCCGTGCCCTGACTTAGATCAGCCCAGAGGTTGTTTCAGGGTTCAATCTGTGAGTTAGCCATGCACTGACTTAGATCAGCCCAGAGGTTGTTTCAGGGTTCAATCTGTGAGTTAGCCATGCACTGACTTAGATAAGCGCAGAGGTGGTTTCAGGGTATCAAAAAAATTTCAAGGTTTGAAGTTTTGTCTTCTTAACTCACTGACCTGTTAGAGTGGCCTTCTCAGCATCCACAGCGCCGTCTGTCTCGTCTTCTTCCAAGTGTTTAGCCAACGAAAAGAGCTCGCGTTTTCTTCTGCGCACGCGCGTTTTCCACTTATCTTCGTCATCGGAATCACTTGTATCACTACGGGACTTTTTCGCCGACAACGAATCATGTTTTGAAGTATCACTGGAGAAAGAATAAATACAAGGAACGATTGTTGCAAGAAGCAAACCATGTAGAACGATTTAAAAGAAAAAAGAGAACATCAAAATCACTCTACTTCATTTACTTTTCTAGTGAGTCATTTATATTCCATCTGTTTCTGTTTTTTTTTTTTTTTTTTTTTTTTACAATAATTATCTTATAAAAATTACACTGCATTACATAACACTACACTACACACCACTACATTATTCACATCACACCTATTCATATCATACCACCCCACCCCAACATCACATAACTACACCACACCACACCTAACCGCACTATACCACATCACGGCACATCACATCACACCTCACTGCACCACTCTACAACCACATCACACTACACTACATCATATCACACCACATCACATATAACCACACCACACCACATCTAAAAAACACCACACCGCACCTAACCACATCACACCACACTAAATTACACCTAACCACACCACACCACACCGCACCGCACCGCACCGCACCGCACCGCACCGCACCGCACCGCACCCGCATCCCAGTCCAACAAGACAAGTGGTTTAAAAACTATACTTACGAGCTCGTTGACCCAGAATCACTGGACGCACTCTTCTCCAGTCTCCGTTTCTTCCCGTTCGCTTTATCTCCGATATGAAATCTTGATGCTTTACTCTTTGGAGTCTTCCCTTCTAATGGGAGCGTCGGCAAGGATGAGGACCTCTTTTTCTGGATTTTAGAGAACTTCTCTCTAAATCGATCCAAAAGTGGCTCAGAAAAAAGTGTTTTTTTCTTGTTCTTTTTGTGCTCAGCAAGAAGTGTGACGGCCATAGCCGCGAAAGCATCAGATAGACTAACATTACGTTCGAGTTTGGGCTTCCTGTGGCATACTGTCAAGATTTCGTCGCTTCTGTCAAGTATCTAAAAGAAATAAACTTCAAACTATATACTGTGTTGTCTCTATTTAGTGGACCATTTACTAAACGAATATTCTTCATCAAACGGGCTTTTTCTCATATTTACTGTGGAATAAAACCTCTTACACAATTGACCCCCGCTTGCAGAAATGGAGTGATAATAAAACGATCGAGCTATAACCTGTTTTAATCTTTCTGATTTATCGTACTTTTCGCTCTCCTCTTCTGTTTTTTTTTTTTTTTTTTTTTTGTTGTCGTTTCGGAGGTTAAACAAAATGGCGGCTTTTCAGATCTGTGGAGCTATTGGCTATTGCAAACATTGTTACCTTTTCATCGTGGGCAACAACGACTGTAGCATGAAGACCAAGCTAAAATATGAGAGTAAAAAACAGTTAAAAATTTTAGACAGAACATGGTCATGGCAATCTAATTTCTGTAGACCTAATTTTTATTTTACTTCTAGCGACACATGACATTCTCTTGAGAATTGCTCTCTAATGACGAACATGTTAAAATATTTACACATGAAAGAATCAACTCCCAAGAGTGGCATCACATGGTCTGAAATGTGGAAAACAAACAATGAAGCTAAAAAGGTCAATAGACCCCTTGCAGCACTTTGGAATGCAGCTCAATCTGGGGGACAAAACAATAGGTTCCAATTCTCAGGAGATTGCAATTCATTTGTTTTGTCCCCCAGATCGACCTGATTTGACGTCACATGCAAGGGGTCAATACAAGGGCTTTTCTCTCTGGGTTCTCCTTTATTTTCCACTGCAGAAACCAACACAATATATTCCAATTCGACCTGGGCATGGGTCAAAGGCTTGTACCAGGGTTCGATGATATTGAAGAAATTAGTTTGACTGTAGAACCTCTTGGACGAGGAGGAATAGGGAGAGGGTACCAATCCCCAATCTCATCAGCTCCCCAGTCCCCTATCCCAGTGCGCCGCTAATCAGGCTATTAGGGTCACCTATGAAGCGGTCAATCTGTATGAAGCCAGTTGTAAAAGAAAATACACATTTAGTTTGGACGCTTTACCTCATTGCGAATGGAGAATGTAGGTCCCTGTATACTACGCACTCTTCCTTCTGTTTTCTCTGTGAATGCCTTAAGGAAAGCGAAAATAAAAAAAAGTTATAAGAACATTTTTTTTGTGGGAATCTGTCCTTAATTAACATAAGATTTGCTTATATAGTTAATGCGGTTTTCCATAGCCTGCGAGCTCAGACATTCCAACGGCTTATTGTGAAATGGGTTTTTCGCTGCCGCCAGCCAATACAGTCAAATTAAAGTAAATTTGAAGATTTAAATAATGAAACCATTGATGGAAGGGGGGGGGGGGGGGGGGGTAATCTTGAGCCGTTTTGACTGTAACATAAAAGATACGAACTGATTATTTTCGGCCGGACCAACACTCAGGGTCTTAAAGTCTTCTCGGACAAGAACTTAAAACCGTAGGCTCCGTCTGTCTTCACAATATAACCCTGTATAAGGCGGACGTAAAAGATCCACTGAAGACGCTGGTGACGACCATCATCAGTGCCCGTGCTATAACCGGCTGCCTTATCAATTGGGTCACAAGGCCTGTTAGGCCTAGGGCTCACGTCAAACTTTCCATACCCCGAAATTAATTACATCAAAGTATGCCGCCTCATTACCACATGATATCCATTGTTTTTAATGAGTTCGGTGCATGGAAAGTTCGACGTTTGCCCTAGGCCTTAGGCATCAAGCCGTCCACCAGGAGTGGTAAACGCATTAGACTAGATTTACTCAAGACGAAATATTACCTCAGAATATCAGAATGGATCAATAGAGGTACCACTGTAGTTAGGGAGGAGGAGAGAAAGAGACCGGTATAGACACGCTCAGCTTACCGTGCTTAAATCAGTTAGAACACCCAGTGACGTAGGAGTAACAGTCAACTGTATGACGTCATGGGAGTTTAAGACAATATACATCGCTTGTGGTTTGACTTCCTCGGATAAAAATCCGTCATCAGTGGCGTCACCGTCGACATGATCCAGGTTACTATCGACTGCTTCGGGCCCAACTAAACGAGTGGAGCTGAGGACGAAATGTTGAAGGGCACCTTCGTAATCTAGGTCTTCTTCTTCGTCTGAGTCTTTGGTTTTCATTGCCATACGACGTTGATCTCTCTTTGAACTATAAAACAGAAAATATTGTTAAAAAAGTATGGCTTCACTATGATACTCTAGAGAATGAACGCGACAACCAATGTTAAAGAGTCGACCACGTAAACCAAGAAATAACACACAAGGGAATGACACGAGACACAAAGAAATAATACTCAAGGGAATGACA